GAACAAATTTCATTGCTCTGCCATGTACCAATGTAGGTATGGAAAATGTTATAGCTAAGGTAGCATCACTTGTATGTGTGATTGTGTGTTTTTGCCTGTCTGGTTTTAGATAATTTTATATACAAAACAATGTGCACATTTTCTAATTATAATATTTTTTTTTAAATATTTTTTTACGTTAATTTGCGTCATACTTAAAATCAAATTTTGTTTGAAAGCACTTAAAGTGAAATATTAAATTTTGGGTAATTGAAGCAAATTTACTTGTACACTCCACACAACATACAAAGCTTTTACATATGCCATTGTGTTTCATAATTTTGTAGGAAAAATAGTTTATTTTATAATTTATTTTCATTTATTTCAATTTAATTTAGTCAATTTTCAATTTAGTAAAATAATTCTTTCTATTTTTTCCGGATTTGCTCTGCTCTGTGGCACTTTAACTAATCGGAAAGTGCACAACTAAATTCAGTGGAGAAACTTAATATTTTGTAGTCAATAATTATTGTGCGGGGCATGGGTATGGGGTTAATATTTTTGAATATATTTTGTTTTCAATTACCAAACAGCAATAATTGTCTTCATTAAGGCGGCCAAAAGACGGCCAGGCCAGAAGGCGGCCGGCAGTTGGCAGTTGGCAGAGCCACAATAAAATTTACATATGCCACCTTCTCTGTGTACTTTCCATTTTTATTGGTTTCTGTGTTGTTCTTGTTGTGTTCAGAATTATTACGTTCGATTTTATGGCACTTAATTCGACTATGAACAAACGGAGACGTCATCAAGTAAAAATAAAAATAAATAAATTCGTCGGAGAGGACGCAGTGTGTCGACCGACATATGCAGTGAATTTTTAAATATTATTTTTAATTTTAGTTTGTTTTTTCTTCAATATTATTTGATTTGCTCATAAGTGTAATTGTTTTTCTATTTGGTTATATTTTGCCTCGCTTAGTAGTTTTTATGATTCTTTTATTTCTTCTAAATGAGCAATGGAGCGATGGAGCGATGAAATAAGACTAAGAACAAAAAAAAAATTAATTATTAACCTACAAATGGCAGCTGTTGACTGAGTTAAGTTGTGGCTTTTTTGTGTTCTGGAGCTGATTCAGTGCACCGGCTGCCGACAAATTCAATGTGACATTTGACAGGAATTGATGGTGCCGCCGCCTGAGGCACAGCGTACATTAGCACATTGATTCATGCTGGCGGTAGTGTTGGCGGGCGGTCGTTTCTTTATTTTTTTTTCAAATTTTGTTTGATTTTATTATGATTTCTTTGATTACTTTTTTAATTTAAGAATATAAATACACAGCTATATTCGCCTACTACTTTTTTATATACTTTTTTATGAGGTGCCTTAAGTCGACCGACCCAGTATTATGCTTAAGATGTGGTTTTCGCAATCTGTCAAAAAGAAAAAAATTAAAATATTGCTCTCTTATAATTTAATATTTAAAATTAGTTTATTTTATATACAATATAGTGCGGACTCACTAAAATAAAATTTTATTAATAATCTCATACTTGCGCCAAATTGGATTTTTTTTTATTAAGTCATTTATTCTGTTAATAAATATTTTAATTATAACAAGATGATTACTTAAAAATGAACTGATTAAAACATAGGATCTAATGAAATTTAAACCAAAAATATGAAAATTTTTAGAATTTTATTCATTTAAAAAATTTGTGAATAAAAATTAGAAAAATAAATAAATTTTTTAATTAAATTTTTTATTATATTTAAATTAATTAATTAATGTTTCATAAAGAGGTTTTTCGAATAGTAGTGAACTAAAAGAACAAAAATTCATTTTATATTATTTTAATTAATTGATTTAATTAATTAATTATTACGTTAATAGATTAAGTTCTATAACTAAAAAATAATTTATAAATCATGCAACAAATAATGCCTCCACAAACAGAATAGTACTGAAATTTGAAAATTAAAAATAAAAATATGATTAATAATTCAATTATTTTACAGCTGGTTTACTATTTCTTTCTAATATTTTACACTGCAAATGAATTTGTTAATAAACTTTTACAGCAAATTAACAAAATTCCAGAAAAATGTGCGAACATAAAAGGCAAGTAGGGCTTTGAGTCAGTTGCTTGAGGAGCGCTGACTCTGAGCTACAAATTTGGCAGAGAACGAGTTCGATTCCTGGTACTAGCATTCACAAAAATTATTTACCATTAAATTTTTTAATTAAATTAAAAAAAATAAATAATAACATAATTCAAATTTGTTGTTGTTATTGCTTGAACCTGGAATGTATTTGGACTCTTTATAATTCATACATTAAAATCATTTATTAAAAATCATTTCATTCTACTTAATTTGATTGTAAAAATTTAATAAATTATAGATGTCATTTTGAAAATGACATCTCTAATAAAAAACTTTGTTAAATAGCTTAAGATCACAAATTCAACTGTTATTCTCGATCTTATATTGGTTTGGCAAACAACTTTGGAGTTTACCTATAACATATGCTAAGGAGATTAAGTAGAAGCCACATAAAGCACAATCTGACAGCAACTTTGCAATTTATTAAAATTATAAAATATTAAACTGTAACAGATATTTAGGTTAATAATAAAAATTAGCTTTTATAATATTTGAGATTAATATAAATAATTTATAGTGATACAAAAGAACATTTCTATGCTATAATCAAGCATTATTTCACTGTGTTTTTGGTAATCGGTAATACAATATTATGTCGCGTACACGAACATAATATATACCTTACTTTATTAATAGCATAAAGTCTTCGGAATCTCACAAAATGTACAAAAGTACAAAATGTACTCTCCACTGACTTTGTTGGATTATTGAATGGTTTCAAAATATGTTTCCTATATAGTTTATATGGAAAAGCATATGTGTTCTAACTTCTTTTAATAATTTTTTTAAACACATTGGCATAGATTTGTTTCCTTTACATTGGTTATACAAAGCAATACATTGGTTACACAAATTATTAGTATTATCTAGATATCATTAATTTAATTGCAACTCATTCATTCTTGGAATTTAAGTTGTTCTTTTGTATTCAAGTTCTTTCTACTTGATTTATATATTGGAAAAATAAATTTGTTTTTAAATTACTGCATAATATTATGTTCAGACACACCTTAATTTCACAAAAATCTTAATTTGATCTTCATTGTAACGAAATTAAGTTGTTTTTTTTCATACAAAACTCAGTTTTAAGGTTAGAACGAAATTAAGGAAAATTCCCTTAATTTCGTTGAAACGAAGGCTGAAATTAAGGGACATTTCAAATGCAACTATGAGTAAGATAAATTTTAAGCAAAAGATAAAGTTGAGATAACGAAAAAGTGACATTTTTTGTTAAATAAATGTCAGTCACAGTTGACTTTGATATAATCGGAAAAATATTTTGAAAGTAGTGAAATGGATTCATATTAAAAAGAAAGACCCGACTTATAGAATGCACTTTTCCATATTCCTTCTAGTGCAAACTTTTAAATTTGAATATAGAGAAAAAACTATAACTGCAATTTATTTAAAATAGAGTGAAAAATAATAATTCACAAACCTGAAGTCCACTAAAGCTTATAAAACCACTGAATGCCATCCTTTATAGTTATAATAATCAACTTTTGAAATTTCCCAGATACGAATGGTGTTTGGAGCATGTAATTCTTAACATTCGATTTGTAAACAAAAAACATATGATTTCCTTAATTTAGGGCAGTATGAACATATTCGAAATTAACTTAATTTCATTTTTTCGAAATGAAGGAAATTTGGTTGTCTGAACATAGTATAAGAAACATGATAAAAAGTGAATATAATGGCGTGGAATCAATTTTAATAAAATATATATTAATGGTATTTCGGATTTCAAGTCATCACTAAAATATTTTGGACTATTTTATACTAAATATAATATTCGAATTATTTATTAAAGAACTTCCCTTAAATAAGCCTTTGTGTATGTATTTAAGGGATAGAATTATATACAGTCGAACTTTCATAACTAGAAGTACCAGTTTGCAAAGAAAAGGTTCGACTTATGGACACTTCGAGTTAAAGAATTTTTTAATTTTTTTTTTTTTGTTTTAGAAAGAAACTACAATTACATTTTAAGATATTTATTTATTTATTTGAAGTCAAATGGAGCACAGAAGTTAGTGAAGAGAAACATTCAGAAATTAGGGTTTTAGATTAAAATTTTTTTCCTATAGTGATCCCTATAGTGATCATCAGTTGTAGTGCCATTCATTTGCAAATAAAAATGAATGAATTTTCTATTTCATTCTTGAAAGGCTGATGAACAATTTCATCCACTAAACTCTCATCATCACTTTCCGTACCGCTTAGAATCGGATCCAGTAATTTAGAGCTATAATGTTCAATAATAACGTCACCTGTACGAAAGCTTGATGTACAAATTTAATTGTCAAGCTCAATATGATAGTTAAGAGTAGCATTGAAAGTTATTTTATTTACTTATTTATTTACTTAAATATTTATTATTTATTCAAAAAAACTAAAGGTATGCCGTCCTGTTCATACCATGTAGAAAATTGACTAAATCCAGCTTTTTTAAAGCAGTGCGCTTATCGTTTGACTACTTATATCAATGATATATAAGGTTTTTCTTACATGATTTATGCAATCCATAAGTATAATATCCAGTTTTTTGTTTGCTTCTATAAGTTTTAGTGCTTCTATTACGATTCTGCTAGTTACACTTTAAATTTTGAATTACTCCCTAATCAAGCGGTTGCAATTTATAGGTTATATGCGAAGGAAGAAATGCCAATTCTATGCCTTAACCTAAATGCTAGCAACTAGCCTTTGCACAAAGAAGCAACATAAGAAAGAAAAAAATTAAACATTTGGTTTGGAAAAAGGGACTTCCCTTAACAAAAATATAGATTCATATCTAAAACAAAGACCCGACTTATAGAATGCATTTTTCCATATTCCTATTGGCACGTGACAATATTTTTATTCGAGTTATAGAGAAATTCGAGTCATATGTTAGAAGTTCGAATTATGGAAGCAGAATTGTATGTAATTTGCATATAATTTGGTTTGGAAAAAGGGACTTCCCCTAACAACAAAATGGATTCATATCAGAAACAAAGACCCGGCTTATAGAATGCACTTTTCATTATTCCAACTGACACGTTACAATATTTTTATTCCAGTTATAGAGAAATTCGGGTTATAGAGAAGTTCGAGTTATGGAAGCAGAATTGTGTGTAATTTGCATATAATTTGGTTTGGAAAAAGGGACTTCCCTTAACAAAAATATCGATTCATTTCTAAAACAAAGACCCGACTTATAGAATGCATTTTTCCATATTCCTATTGGCACGTGACAATATTTTTATTCGAGTTATAGAGAAGTTCGAGTTATGGAATCAGATTTCTATGTAATTTGTTCTCTAAAATCCTTTTGCACTCTTTTTAGTTCGCGTTATAAAAGTCTGAATTATGAAAGTTTGGCTGTATTAACAAAATTTAATAAAGAAAAGTTATTTTCACTTTTCAATTTCTAAATTGAATCATTTAAAATGAACTGAAATTATATTGAAAAATTTAAGTACACAAGAAAATAATTAAGCAAACATTTATAGAGTTTAGAAAATTTTACATTTTCGCTCAATTATTCAGCATTTTTAATGTAATTTAAAGCATAATAATTTATTTATGGAATTTATGGAATCCTGGTGGGGGCCGTGAATAGAGAACAGCAGTACTCGTCTGAATTCCTATCTTTTTACATTTTAAACAAACATTTTGCACTTAACTAAATACATACTCAAGCTTATTTAGTTGTTGTTTTTCTAACTAATTAAGAACATAAAATATTTTAACACATTTGCCTGAGTGCAAAACAAAAACAAATTAAACATTAACAAAAATTAAGCAAGAAAATTAAAGACTTTTAACCTTTACTCATGGTAGCATTTGTTTATGCACAATTAATTGTTTTCAATAAGTTTCTCCTTGATTAACTGTGCCGTAGACAAGCAAACATATTTATGCCATATCGGAGAAGCGTGTACTACATGTCGTATACGTAACGCAAGTTCACTTCTTCTTCTTCTTCTTCTTCTTCTTCTGAACGAATAACGTTTGGCGTTATTTTATTGGCGTTCGCAAAAATAAACAAACATTGCAAGCTCTTAAGCAGACTAATATTTTTAAGTAAAAGTATATATTTCAAAAAAAAAAAAAGAATAGAATAAAAAAAATTAAAAATAAAAATAAAAATTGCACAATATTCTGCAAAGTAGTTTGTTGTATATTGTTAATTTACTTATTTACAATTTGTTTTTAGGAAAAGATTTATTTTAAATATATATTGATTTCAGTATCGGTATTGCATAAATAAAAGCTTTAGTATATATATTTAAATTTATATTTAAAAATACAACACTTTACACAAATATACACTTTCGTTGATTAGTTAATTTTAATGAACTCTAGAAAGAAATATTACATTAAAAGATTTAGGGTATTCGAAAGTCGGTTGATACCAGTGATATGCACGTAATATTAGTCAATAAACATTAAATGAAAAATTTAAATAATTGTTTATAGAAAAATAAATTACCAAACATAAATAAAATACCGCCAAATTGTTCATTCATTATTTTTTGTTCTCTTCGAAGCATAAAATCGGTGATGTTCGATAAATTTTAAACATATTTAAAAATGGTTTCAATTGATCAAAATCATAATGACTTGACTAAAAAAAATCTATTAAAAATTTTCATACTGATTGAAAAATGTGTCTGATATTATATATTGATAGTGGCGTCATTGCTTGTAAATGTTGGTATTTAAAACTATTATTAGTATAATAGGTCAGTAGCTATTAATACCTGACACAATCTATCACTGACTACATTCGTAATAATAGGCTGGAAATAAAGCCTATTATGAATTAAAACAACTAATTACAAGTAATAATATTTCACAGAAAATAAAACTAAAAATGTACAACACATTGATTCGTCCAGTAGTAACATATGACTGCGAGTCATGGAGATTAACTGAAACTGAAGCAAGCAAGATAGATTTCCGTGAAGAAAATGGGATGATAGTGGAATGTATCGCTTAAGATACAACCACGAGCTAGAACGGCTAGCTGAAAATGATACAATCAACTAATTTATTGAGAAGCAGCGATTAAGATGGATTGGACATGTGATAAGAATGCCGGATATGAGAGTATCGCTTAAGATTTATGAGAACGAAGTAGGAACCAGCAGAAGAAATGGGCGACGATGGAAAGACAGTGTGTAGCAGGACTTAGAAGAAACGAACATAAGAAATTAGAAAACAAAAGGAAAAAACAGAGAAGAATTGAAGACTACATGGACTATATAGTCACGATTGATGATGATGATTAGTATAATAGAAATATGTGTTTACATTTTGCCAGGCTTTAGGTCGCCTTTTGATGTGAACTATCTATAGATATCTATAGATTTTTTTACTAAAACATATATATACGTTTAATCGCTTTAGGGATTTTATTAATTTTTATTGAAAAATACCCCGTATAAGATATCTTTAATATTCACTGCAATTGAAATAATTTTTATGTGAATATACAATATAAATATATATAAATATTTAAATATCTATAAATATAAAAATATCTATGAATATATAAATATCTACCTATAAATATCTGAAATTTTACTAACAATGTGTCAGTGTTTGTTGGCATAGATGTCATCCTAAAAGTTCTAATCAGGAAATTGACATATTGAATCTATAAAAATATATTATATATATTTAATTATTTTTATATTATTTATTATAGACTTTTTTAAGCGAGTTTTAGATTTTAATTATATTTTTTAAATTTATTATGTTTTTTCACTATCACTTGCCTAGATTAGGTTCTATACATAAGAAATAATATATAAGTCATTGAAATTTAACAATTAAAAATAAAAATATGATCAATTAGTTCAATTATTTTACAGATAGTTAAAGATTTCGTTCTAATATAAACACGTTCTAATATAAAATTAGCTGTTTTTAGCAAAGTAACAGAACTCCAGAAAAATGTGCGAATATAAAAGTTAAGTACGGCTTTAAGGGTCAGTAGGTTAAGGAGCACTGACTCTGAGTTTCAAATTTGGGAGGGCACGATTTCGATTTCTGGTACTTGCAGTCTCAAAAAAAAATTATTTACTAATAATTCAATACAGGAATTATTTCCAAGACCTCGAATGATGGGTATGTGACAATACTCGAAACAGCTGTATGGTAAGCCAAAAAATTCAATTAATTAAAATAATTTAAAATAATTTTTGTTGTTGTAGTTCACTACTGTTCGAAAAAAAACCTCTTTATGTTATTTAAGAAAATTTTTTCCTCATAAATTATGATATTGTGATATGTATATTATACGGGTATACGAAAAGTAATAAATTCAGTAATTTTATTTTGCATTAGAAATTATTTTCCACTTTATATTTAGTTTTTAATAGATTAATTTTATTAATCATGATATATAAATAAAAAATAATTGTTTAACATCAAAAGTTCAGTTGCTAAACAATTTTACATTACATATTTCTAAATACTAACGCTCTGCTCCAGGTAGAGAAGTAGAACTATCCGAATTTCTAATTACATATTTATTTATTTATTTTTTATTTCATTTTTATAATAACAAAGTAATTTATTTAATCAATCTTTGATTGTTAAAATTTTAAAAGATTAAAATCATAACAATTTTATGCTCAATGCATTACATGATTAATACATGATACACATTCAAAATTTTATATCTTTAGAAATAGAACATTGTAAATAATTAAAAAAAATATTTTTATAATAAAATTGTGGAGATCATTTAAATTTAGTCTAAAAGTAACATTTCATCTTTATGTAATATTGTAAATAATACCATGAACATAATAAGAATTCTTTTCATACTACTGATTTTCATATCAAAGGTAATTGGCAATTTATATATTTTAGATATATATTAGTAAATTATATATTATCTTTATTTATTCAAGTCGTTTTCTTTATTCAAAATGACGAAAGTGGAATGCTTAAATATGGATAAAAATTTCGGAGAATTTGAGTATTGTCGTCTCAAAGCTGTCAAGCGGGATATTTCAGAATTTTCATTTAAATATAATCTCCATGAGCGTGTTAATGATGTGACTGTAAGGTGAAAAGTAGTTCTAA